TTTAAAATTGTCAATTAGAGTTCTATTCTAACTAATCAATATCTAATATCACACCATTTTCCAATCACATAAACCGTAAATTCAATTGGATTCGTATTTTATACAAAAAAAAGGCTTTCATTGTAAATTTTGTTATTATTCTAAGAAATTTAATAGAACCACACTTCTTTTTATTATATAATAATATATAATTTGCATCAACATTATTTTATAAAAAAAAAATTGTAATTGTTTTTTAATATAATTTAACTAAAATTATGTAAAAAAAATAGCTCGGTGCCCATTAAAACAGCCTTGGAATAGTTGGGGATAGCCTGTTTAACATATTGTACAAAAGAAAAAATAGGAAAATAAAGAAAAGAAAATAAAAGGGAAAAAGATAAAGGAACCCCTCTCTTTTCTTTAATCGTGGAAGGTACAGTAAAAAGATATATATTTAATTGCCATCTTGCGATGATCAAAACCTCCACTTCATAATAGATTAGTACAATACTCGTGTACTACACGTGTATTGAATTAGAAAATATATAATAAAAATTACTAATAAAATATATTTTTTATTCAAAATTTTGATTGACTAATTGATGAAAAAAAAAAGAGGATTAAACAGTGAAGTGATTTGTAAATCCTAATTTAGGAGAAAAATATGAGAAAAAATTACAATATGGTAAAATTGCTACTTGCCCAAACTATGATGAAATGTGTACTAAGAGAAAAAAATAACAAAATTAAATATACACTTACCAAGTTTGAAAAAATTATTTATGTCTAATACCAACCCTAACTCCAGAGAAAAAAAAAATATACAAAAAATATTACGAAGCATAGATTTGGTCATGTCAGCATCCGAAGCGTAGGAGTCTGCCACTTAAACTCAACATATTTTAAATTAATATATAGAGAGGGATTATTAAATTAAATAATATATTAATTATACTTAATAGTTGCAACCAACTGATCGACGTGGTTGCATTATAGAATAATAATACTTACTCTCAGATTTCAAATATTTATCAGCTTGTTAGCAAGTTGCAACAAAGTTAAAACATAAAATTCAATGGAAATCAAGCAGGAAAGTTGGAATATAAAAAGTCAGAGTGATAAAAGTTTATAATCTACTCCCTTTTAGAAATACAAAAATGACTACAATTGAAACATTATTTCATTGAGCTTCTCCATAAATAAACTTATAATAGTATGGAATTGTAATTTCGTGTATTTCGTGTTGTGTCGAGTCGCATTGTACCATTAATCTATATAATCGTATCATATAGTGGTCGTGTTTTATATCTCATCAATCATTGCCGTTCTTATAATAGAAATCGATGGTAATAACACAAAACAGTTAGCAAACTAATATGTATATATACTTTTAAATTAAAATGTCAAATTATGAAAAAACAATTTGAGTACGCAAAAATTATTTAAAAAAAATGTGACATGACGACTCAATCAATTGGTAGACCACTTTATGTAAGAATTCTTCTAAAAATACAATAATTAAATCAAAATGACATGAGTATTCACCTAATAGTTAAGACCAAATTACACAATAATTTGGTGTAAAACGAAATTCCAAATCAAACACAAAATCTTATACCCAATTTGCAAATTATAAATTTATAATAGCTTAGGGTTTACTAAATTGGGCTCAAAAACGAGGCCATGAACCAATGGGCAGACGTAAACAGATGGTGGAGCACGAGGGTTTGGGATTGCTTTGGACATCATAATTTGATTCTTAAATCTTTAACTAAGCCGCCTTAGAACACCAAAAGTTGGTTAAACAAATAATAATATGTTATGAGCTAAACCTATTTAACTTTACATTTTGTAGATCAGATATGATAATACAATATTCAAAATGGGAAAGAAAAGAGAAAACAATAAGGAAAGTACGGTAAGTAGTGAGTGCAGTGGAATGTGATCATTATTTTCTGTTAAATTTTATATGTACTATTATTACAACTTGAATGATGATGGGTTGATATTCCTTGTGACTGATTAAATATTTTTTTATGAACAAATTGCTAGCTTTAAAACAATTGAAAAAAAAAAATCTTAATAATTTTCAATATGTTCATAAAAAAATTTAAAGGCGAGTTTGCAGTTTAAAAATCACAATTTTTTACTTTCTTAAAAAAATATGATGAATTTCACCATACCCTGTAGGTAAGAAACAACCGTGCAAGGTTTTAATGAAGTATTGATCCAACTTATAGAAACTCTTTAGGCGCAATGCCTATAGATAAGATCGAATTTGTGTAAAAGAATACATTGGGGCTTTATATATGAAGAACATTAGACTTTGGGCCCAATTGTATAGGAATGTATTGGGCTCTGGAAGTATATGTGAGAAAGGGATTCGGGCTTTTGGCTCGGGTTGTATGTTCCAACTCAGATAATTCAATTTAACTGCACCCATCATATCACTTGAAATTATTGTTATTTCCATTTATACAAAATTTGTTCGTAATAAACTTGAGATTAGGCTTAGATAAGCTTAATTAATCAAAGGCTGCATAGCTAACTAGTGAGAGTTAAGAAATTTTCTGCGCCGAAAAACCACAATTAAAAAATGATGTGAAATTCAAAACATTCCCTTCTTCAGTTAATTATTTCACTCGGTGCTCATTATATGTACCAATTAGCTTGAAAATAATAGTCTGTATAGAATATATCCTATGGATTTTAACAGATCATCCTCTTTAATATTTCCAATGCCTAACTATTTCATAATTAGCTGATGCGACACTGCAGACAAGGTGAAAAACACTAAATTCGATTACTAACTTTGATTTAGAGAAGATGAATCGAGCTTAAAAGCAGTACCTATACAATCTTCTGGTTAGGTAACTAAAGGAATATAAAACATATATATGTATTAGTAGAAAAAAAAAATATCACAATAGCTATACATATATAAAATCGTATCTTTCAATTAACTGATTTGATAGTTGAATGTCCAGGAAAGGAAACCGGTTAGGAGAAAGAACCCGGTTTATTAGGACTCATTAGGCATCACTAGTGGTCGAGTTTACTTCAAAAGAAAAAAGGAAAAGAAAAAACCAACAAAATTAATTGCTGGCGATAGATAAATGGCATTGGCAAATGGAGTGGACATTTAGTCGTCCTGTTGACTGCCCGGGCCGCGGGAACTCGGGGCGGCACTTTGGATGTGGATTGTGGACTGTTGTAAGAGTGTATTATCCCATATATATAATATATAAATTGTTTTTTATATGTATATATTACAAAAATAATAACATGAGTAAATTTTTGGGTAAAATATAACTTTAACTTAATAAATATTCATAGTTTACAAAATCGTCTATATATAGACCATACACACGTATCTGTTTTTTTTTATTATTAATGATCGTATAATTATAGTGGACCATAGGATTTTTCGTTGACCATACACACGTATCTGTTGATCATAATTTACGCAAAATTATCATAGGATTTTCCGTTGGAATATAACAATTGTGTAATGATCAAGATTTAAGCGTAAATTATGAATTTTAATGAAGTTCAAATTGCATTTTACCATAAAAAAAATACTATAAATTGCAAAGTTAAAAAATACGTACAATACATGTGGCAGTTAAATGTTTATCATTAATATCTATAATAATAAAAACAATATAGTAATTTACCTAAGGCCATGCTAAGCTTGGTATTGTGTTAAGAAGTTGACCTCTGTTGGCTGTTGTTGTGTGTAGTTAAGTGTGTACTTAATAAGTATTATAATTTATAAGTAAATTTTAGCTTATTTAATGAAGTATAAATTTATGGTATTAAAATTAGTTTAGTTTTGCACAATGACTGATTTTAAAAAAATTGAGCTTATCTCATATATTTCTCTACACATTGTTTTGAAAAACTTATGAATACTTTTGTTGCGTCTAAACAGAAAAATCTATTGATATTTTTATTTGGGTTTCCTTATAACCAAATTTTCAACTATTTTTATCAAATATTTTTCTTATATTGGTTGGATTATTCTAACTTATGAAGTGCAAATTAACCAACTTTTTACCTAAAGTAAAGTTACCCATATATATCCTAAATCAATTTCAGACAAGTACTTAACTAGTGAAGGCAAACAGTCATAATANAAAAAAAAAAAAAAAAAAAAAATGCAAAATTAACTAAGTCAAAAGGAAAAAAAAAGGCAAAGCCTGGCTTATCCATATCTCAAATGTATCCTCGTTAGTCAGTTGTTATTTTTAATCAATGCCAACGTGTCAATTTCCTGAATCGCAGACGTGTCGCCACTTCTCACCGGACTCCTTCCATTTCTCTCTTTATTTACTTGCTCAAACCACTTTTTATTAGCTCTACATGTTTCTCAAGTGATTTTTGTAAGTACCATTTTATTAAATTTTTGTTTCTGTAGATAGTTTTATAGTTTTTTGTAGTTTTCTGTAATTTTAATAACGTATCTTATACTCTTTTTGTTATTATCATATATTTCTTTTGTTTGGAAAGCATTATTATCATGTATTTCATGTATTGCGGTTGTGAATTTTAATCAGATTCTACAATTTGATCAAGATTAATCCACATACAAGAGTAAATTGTTCGTGTTATCTAAATTGCTAATCTATATATATATACCACAAGAAAATAATAAAATTTTACCAAAATAAATTGTAATGAAATTTCACCGATAATTTCAATGGATAATTCGACATTATTTTTCCTATATAATTTCCCAATGTTTCTAGTCGGAATAGTTTATCATTGAAATTTTTGTTGGATTTTCATTATTCCAACAACAAATTTTTCAACCCTTGAAATATGACTTGAAATAAAATTCTAACATAATTTGTATATTTCAACTAAAATTCGTGCAGAAACAAACTATTGAAAATATAATCGTTGAGATTTTCAAATTCCAACTTAAACTTCAATCGAAAATTCATTCCAACAAAATATTTTCATTAGAATTTTCGTTAGATTTTTTTTAAGGAGTTTAATTGGAATTTAGTAATATTTTTTTAGTGATATGAGCTAAACATGCCAACATAATCTTTTGCTAATTCAACTTGTACGTTTTTCTATGTGTCTTGCACAGGCTCATCAAATGCTCGTCTACCAAATTTATCATGCGAACACGAACACAAAATGTGACACAGATAAAAAACCGTGTGTAGTTTCATGGCTATTTTGTTCGAGCTGTTGAGTTTAGCTCTTAAGCCTCTCGTATTAGCTAAACTTTCGTGTCAAATTAGTGCCCAAATTATGTGCATCATCATTCAAACATGGCTAGATGTGTTGAGGTTTGCCTTGAGTTTGCATTTAATTATACTCACTCGAGTCGCAATTTGGGCTCTATCGGCATTAACTCTACCCGCACGAGCTTTCACGGCCCTTTACAGAGAGAGGCTGGTAATTAATCACTCGATTCTCAATAATTTTCGCGTTTACTATACGTTTTTTTTTTTTTTTTCATTTTTTTGCCTTTTTAACCGCCAAACTCGTGTACTAACTGGTAAAAATCCGACGTGCAGCTTGAGATGCAAGTCTATAGACTGAAAAACGAGTTAGAAAGCGTTATCTTGGATAGGAAAGAAGCAGAGGAAAAACTTCGTGAGGCCATCGAAGAACTTAAATCAATGGAGATGTTACTAATGGAGCTTGAGGAAGAACACGACGAAGCCATCATGAAAGTCGAAATGCTACAAAGAGAGGTAAAATAAAAAAACGAAAAAAAGAATCGGTTTTTTTTGTTAAATTTGATGCGAGTGTTCAAATTGTCTTAAGTGTTGTTAAATCAGGTCCATGACTTGAAAGATCACACGGTGGCCGAAAATTTCATTAAATCACCTTCAAAATCCGATAATTGCGAAAAAATCGCAATATATCGAAGCCCCATAAAAAACGGGTCGAATATTTACGGTGCTCAAAGTCAAAGGGATGTTGCTCTGTATCGAAGCCTATTTAGTACGGTATTATCTCTTACGGTTGGTTTCGTAATGTGGGAAGGAGAGAATAATTCCATGCCTTTAGTTTTGGCACTTTTTACGGTGGTTATAATTTCTTTGATGAGTGTTGCTCGGTTATTTGGGGTGAACGAGAATAAACCGGCTTCGGATGCTATTGCTCTCTTGAGCCTCAACTGGTTTGTGCTCGGGACAATATCGTGTCCTATTTTGCCGAGGATCGCTCGTTTTTTGGCGGCTTTAACGTTGAGTTTCGTTTAGAATGTGCTTAGATGGGTTGGTCTATGTGTGTGTGTGTGTGTTTCTCAGGACTTTGAATTGAAGTCTTCTTTGTTCTGTTTTCTCTTGTTCTTGTTTTTAGGTTATCTTTCAGTTTGGTCAGTGTGCTACTCTTGGTGACTTTTTTCACAGGTTATAGAGTGACGTAAGTATTGTCATGTCTGGTTTTTAAGTGTTTGTTCTTTTTNNNTGTGTGTGTAAATACTAAATATATATACTTGGTGCATGATTTGATGTTATTTTCCATGTTATGCTTGCATTTTCTTTTTCCCACATGGTGAACACTGCTTAATATTTACGCTAATATAGACTGATCTATCATCTCGAGATTCAAGATGATTGGATAAACGGAAGTGGCATAGTTCGGGTCAACGGTCTAAGCTTTGTCGTTTTTCTTGAATGGGATCGACCTCTTGTAGCTCGACCATGTTTAAAGAATTGTAGATTGGTCAAAACGGCCTATTAGGGATCGAGATGTAAACAAATTAGTACAATCTAATAAAGTTGAGAAAAAGAGTAGGGCGAGTTAAACGCGAATTAGGGTGTAGTTTAAGGTAAATTCCAATTTGAGGAATTGACTATATTCAAGGATTTATAGCAGTGCCGAATTAGGGTGTAATTTAAGGTAAATCTCAATTTGAGGAATTGACTATATTCAAGGATTTATAGCAGTGCCTCCTCCAAGGGAGGCAGAGCATGCTCTTGCCTAGCCCCTCAATTTATTTGGGGCCACATATAAATGAAGTGACCTAATTAATGAATGAGTAATGACTAAATATTGAAGTGACCTAATTAATGAATGAGTAATGACTAAATAATTAATGAATGAGTAATGACTAAATATTGACTTAGCTCATTATACAAATAAATATGCTAATTAATAAAGGGCTAAGAGTGAATGACTAAATATGGACTTGGTCCACTACACAAATGAAGAAGCTAATTAATAAAAAGGCTAATGGTTAAATATGTAATTCGTTTGTGAATTTGAAAACTTAAATATTTCATTTGTTTTCTTATGATGTTTGGTATGAACAATTTGTATTAGAATAATTATTTTCAGTGATATTATTTTTTATTTTTCATCCTTAATGTCCTCGTGACTTCTTCAATGTAACTTATTAAATATCTCTGTAAACTCTAGAGATAATTTATCATTTCCAAGATCTATTTCAGGATTGATGAAAAACAAAAAAAATCATTTCTTTTTCAATTATTTATTTATTTAGCTTGTCTTGTTGAATTAGCTGTTTTTTTCTTCCATGCTTACCACACAAATTCAAATTGAGAACTTAAAAAAAAAAAAATGTCTGAGGCTTCCAAATTTCTGGAGACGACATAGCCGTCTGTGGAGGATATCATGGGAAAAGAGATAGGGAAGATGTATTATTTATCATTCTATTTTCTGAATTCAAATCTGACTTGAGTATCGAAGACTTTATAGTAAGAACTCTCCTTGAGCTTTCGGAGCGATCAAGATTCTGACTTTCCATCAGAGCCGGTGGGACTGTCTTGTCTATTTTGTGTAAGTCACATCATACGCCAACTAATATAGCAAGAGATTAACATATAAATATGGAATGATACTAATTAAAAAGTCACTGAGATTTTGACATGTTATAAGTTAATGTGTGAGTAGATGAACAACTTTCGCAAAGTATCTAGAGAAAGTCAAAAGTAACAACAAGTATAACTAGAAAGTCAATAGTGGCACTTTTCCTATGTACAATTTAAAAAAAAATAATAATAACAACATACTTATGCATAGTTTCATATATTTACTTTTAAACAATACTAGTAATCCACTATTGTTAAGTGGAATAAGTTTGTGGGTATCCAAACATTAATTGCATTATTAGTTGCGAATTGTAGCTTCAATTGAAATCCATCATTCTCCATCATTTGTGGAAGCCACATGCCATTCAATGTTGGACCACTAATTGATAAGAATAATGGCATAAGCCATATCCCAAAAGCTAATATAATAATTTTGCCTATTTTGTGGACCAATTTGACTCTTTGTCCATATGATTCAATAGATACTATACTTAGAAGAATGGGGAAGATAGAAAGAAAAAACACACAACTCATTGTGTGGTGTAGTTTTACTATTATCTTAAAATTGGGTGACTCAATGACACGGTTGCAATTTGAATTTTTGTGATTTGGTCCATCTAGATATTGACTCGGGTTAACAATTTTTTTTTTCTTTTAGTTTATAAGAAATATATGTAGTATTTAATATTTAAAATTATACTGGATTCGACAATAAAAGTTTTATTAATATTTAAGTCGTGTGAAGAGAAGAGTATGATATTATTTTTGGCCTCGCTTATTTAAGCTGATAGGATAAGATGGTTAGATAACTCCTGTTATCCAATGTTTACTAACTATGATGAGATTGGATAATAAGCTGATATGTCTTGTGAGTCCCATACTTATATCCTGTCTTGGGCCTCTTGGCGGATTATTTTGTCCGGTTTTCAGGGTGGGACAATTTAATTTCACCTTAGAAACTATTTTGACCAAAAGTTTGCACGAGAAATGTCCTTTTTACCCTTGGAAGTCTACCATACCAAATTACAAATTTAGGCCATATAAAATTATCTTGTGAGTCCCACACTTTTACCTCATATTTTTTTATCCTGTCATTTTATTCAAGTTATTATTGCTTGATTGTTTTTACCTTAAAATGTATCATATTTTGTAAACATTGGATACAAGGTGACGTGTAAAGTTGATCGGATTAAACTATCAAAATCCTATCATTTTAAGTAAACGAGACCTTAGTGTTTTCAGTGATTAGTGTTTGTTCAAAATTTTCGTTTGTTTATATGATTTCCATATGTTGTAATAAATGAATTTTATGTATTAGATGTTGTGGTTTATATTTAAAATATCATAATAGGCTGAAAAATTAGGAGCATGTATTGTAAATTTTGTATATTGAAGATTGAGATTTAGAAGAAAAGTTTCTTAATTTAGATGGCAAAATTCAAAAATACCTATAATGCTTGTTTCAAATCCAAAAATAAAAGTAAATATTGTCCCGTGATGCCGATGGGAGTGATGTTAAAGTAAACAAATCAAATGAAACTGTCAAAATCGTGCCATGATTTTCAGCAAAAGCTACGAAAGC